AAAATAGTATTGATGATTCCTATTCTTTTGTAAGTAGAGCAAGTATTTTGCGGTGCGCAAAAGGGCCTATAGTTGCAACGCATTATGTCAAAAAAATGTAAACCACCGTGTACACACTATATATGCATTAAAGTGGTTTGATTAGCGCGTTCGAACAAACTCTTTAGTTTTATAATAACTATCTCGGGCTCGCCCACACGGTGACTTTTGTATCGATGCAGTAGCGATGCTGCCGCGTTTTTAGTGAACGGGTGGCAGCATCCGCTATCAAAAGGTAGTCGTGGGTGGGGATCCTTTATATACAAAAGAAAACCCGTTTCCCGTTGTCACGCCATAACTTGAGAACGGCTGGACCGAATTGGCTGATTTTTTTTTGTTGTTGTGTTTGTTATCGTCAGGAGAAGGTCTTTATGACAGAAAAAATCCTAAAAATCTGATGGGAACGGGAGAAAACGGGATTGCGCGTACGAAGTCGCGGGCAGAAGCTAGTACTAATAAAAAAGGTTGTTTCTCTTAAGACCAGTTTGGCTCAACATGATCTAAATCCGCTTTCCAAAAACCATGTATGAAAGATTTTATGCTACACTAGTGCGAAAGTCTAATTTTATTAATTTAGAACAATTAGTTGCCTCTAATTTTAAGAGCAATTATCTTGAGATCTTTAACCCTGGTGTATTATTAGAAACATATAATATTAAACGCAAACCAGAAATATGGAACCCTTGCCATATTGCGGATTTTAACCCATTCATGGTCACTGTGTCAATATGGGAACACCTAATAGTTTAGGGTAGAAGCATTGTATTGCTATAATTTAAATAAATAAACACATTTAAGGACTAAATTGACCATAAATGGGTTAAAGGAACAACTTTTGTCAAATAAACTTACTTAAAGTTGACTGAAATCGACAGCAGCGCCAATTTGACAGGGTTCTTATTACTATGGTCAAGTTTTATAATTTTTATTAAAAATGATTAAATTAGGATTTTTTTAAATATGAAAACAATTGCACTAGGCGATTGCACAGCCGTTAATAATACAAATTATAATAATTAAATAAAATTAAAAATTATTCTAAAACTAATAATTGAGACATTGATGATTACGTATAGAGGGCGCTACGGTTTGTGATTTTAGAAAGGTGTTTTTTGACTAAGTATTTTTATTCAGAATATTACTTTAAGAATTTTATTTTAAAAATTAGCTAAAACATTCGAAATCAGTGCCAATCAGATCTTACGAATAAAGATACCAAATAAGCAAGCGATATATGCTATCTATACATATATAAAAAAAATAATCCCTTTTTCCCGTGGTCACGGCATCCGCGTGAATGCATGGCTGGACCGATTTCATTAATTCTTTTTTGTTGTATTAGTTATTATTAGGAGAAGGTTCTCAAGACAGAAAGAAACCTGAATACCCTACGGGAACGGGACAACACGGGATAGCGAATAGCGCGTACGATGTCGCGGGCAGAAGCTAGTAATAAAACATTTTTGTTAAAACTGATTGAAAAACAGTAACCAATAGAGATTTTTGCTCTCTTCACAATAGGAATCTATACTTTGGACCGAGCGAAAGGCTTCACTAGAAGATTGACGATCGACCGATAGTTTTTATTTATATTAACTATCAAAAATGTCTTTTGCAGGTACAAATAAATGATTTAACATTAAAATAACAAGTAAAGGTACCGTCGTCGCCCTCAAATCTCAGTCATTCCCATGCTACATACACTGACATCTAAAACGTACTACGACATCAAAATTATAGGCAATTTTAGGCAAACGCTTATACTAAAACGTATTTTATATTTTTACTTAAAATTATTGCAATTTTTTGTCAACAGATTTTCTATTAACCTAGGTTTCGGGGAGGAGGGTGGCTGACCATGGCGCTTACTCTAGAAACCAATCTCAATGTCAATGTAATTTCAATCCAATACAATCTCAATAATTATTTAATGTCAAAACTATACAACCCCTATCGTAGCTGTTAAAATAGCATTCAGAGTATGGAATATAAAGCCCACATCAATACCATTTAGTTAATTCAATACGGATGCAATCGGCGCTAGTGTTGGAACTCAAGAGTACCAAATTTCACAATACCAATGTCGATCGATCGGAATTGGATTCAAGAGTAAGCCCCCAGGTGTATCTTTTATTATTATACCATGCCCTTCATCAAATCGATTCTGTTATTAATCTGGATTAGAATAACATTTTATTTTTGGTGTATGCGCAAGAAACAGTGTCAGCAAAGTCGTGTAAGTAAAAAAAACCCTTTTGATTGTTGCGACTTCATTATACTGGAGTTTTTGAGTTTTTATTTGATTATTTATGTAAATATGTCTTTGGTACAAGCCTAAGGAAAGCTAGAACTGAGTAGAGACTTTTTTGATAACTAATGGCAAAATATGTATTTACCTAATTTTTTTCTTTAAATAATTTCCTTGCTGTGTGCCTACTGGTTTTGATATATTTATAATTTTAATTTTGTCTTAGTTGTTGCGTATTTAGTCACTATTTGTAGGAATCGGAAAGTGACTCAATGTTATTATTTTTTTTTTGCTAAATTTGTATAATGTAGTTGTTGATTCCCTATTTAATAATAATAAAAAGTTCTATTCTAAGGAAATGGTAAACTTAACTGTAAAGGTCTTTTTTAATCAAGGTCATCTTCTCTTGAATCCCAATGACACATCTTTAAGCGTAACGTGTACGGCACTTTGCTTATCCCTTTTCTATATAATAGTGTCATGTCACACCTCTCCTCCCCAATATAATAAGACATCACTGGATCTTAAAATTATGCGTTTCGGCAACAATTCGACATATAACGACATAAGACTATCAATTTAATAAAAGTTTTTAAACAAATAATTGTAATTAATTTAAATTAACTATGTCTTTACTGGGCGACTGTTGCGCAATGAAATTTATTGTTTGCGCAACTTTGCGCTTTGATGCGCAACTTTGCGCTTTGATGCGCAACTTTGCGCTTTGTTGCGCAACTTTGTGCTTTTTTGGATAACGTCTAAAGAAGTCTAAGTATATGTTGAATTGTAGCTTAGAGTAAGAAATAATGGGTTTTGGAACAAGCTGCCATTAGTCGCCCAGTAAACCCAGCTGTATGATATGTGTACTAATCGACAAAAAGCTTATGTAAAGACAATTGCACGTCGAACTACCCGAAATCCTTTAAATTTCGACTTTATAACGAAACTAACTTCGTACCAGCGAAGGTTCAGTCTCGACTAATTCCCGTTCGTAATAGAGAGTACACAACATTACTCTCTGCATTCCAAAGGTGAGAGAAGTTTTCAAGTAGGTCCTGTAATTGGGTACTTGCCAACTAGTCACATTCAGTACTTTCTTCGAACTGTCAAAAACGACAGTTTTCTGTGAATCTTGTACGAGATTGTGTATTTTGACATTACGTTTTTTTAGCGTCAAAGAGTACTTATTTCTTAAAAAATTGCTGGAAAGATACTAAAATTAAGTTAGTCAAAAAATCAATTAATGAAAGTGTGATTATTTTTAAACATTTTATTGTATTGAACAGTCGAAATAATTTATTTTTGATTAAGGAAAGTACCCAAACTGAACCTATTCAATGTAAACTTTCTTTATAATATACCTAGGTCATAAAATCGAGATTTCATTAAAGAAATTTGATATTTTGACGTGATTTTGTCATAAAACGTGTATTGCAGAGTATTAAGGCGTAGACTAGTACAATTTGTGTTGCCGGTGTCACTCGCTAGATGGCGTTAAACTTTATTAGTTTAAGAATGGAGTTAGAAATACAAAATGTACCTTAACGTTTAGTAATTGAAGGTTTAATTTAGTTTGATAAAGTGATAAGGTCTATTTTTGCTGGCTTATAAAAGAGTATTTTTATACAGCATTTTATGATTGATATTATTATTCAAGATTTCATTAAAAAGATGTGCACATCTTTTCTCAACAACTTTGCCAAGTAAAAATAGACCTTACCGTAATATGATCTGCAAGTGATTACCAACCTTATGTAACAATAGTATGATTCATTGTACTGTACGTTATTTACCTTTCAACTGCTCTACTTGAAATTATACAATTTTCAGCTGCAAACACAACCTGAAAAAATGAAATATTATCAAATGTTTGTGCAAAAACTTTAGTCAAACCTGTCCGGCAGATATTAGGTGATGATAGAACATACTGTTTGCATATCTGTTTATATGTAAATTCATCACATTTTACGACAAAAATTGTATACCTACTCTAAATGAGACGACTATGCACTGTACCAGCACAATATGCCTTTAATTTGCAAAACATTTAAATTGAAATAGACAGAAAACGCATGTGAAGAAAGGAGTTCTTTGCCAGAGTCTGTATTTCCTGAAGTTTATAAACTGGGTGTCTGCAAGGCCCGAGTGAATAGGTTGCTTATGGGTCGACGTGTTCCATCGTAGGCCACATCATCGCTTACCACCAGGCGAGATAGTGGTCAAACGTCGAGCCATTAAATAAAGAAAAAAAAGAAAAACACGTTTGACTTACAATCTGATTAACTATGAAACAAATACAGTCCAAAAGTAGTTGTTCGTGATTACAACTTGTTTTTTTAATGGGTCAAGCCCGCCACAACCTCCCAAAACCGCTGCAACCTTTATAGGCCAGGATCTACAGTAGATACAACCATGAAAACACCGGAACACTGAAGTCCGGCGCATCCCAGGGACATGAGTAACTGTCTTGGTTCCCGCAACGAAGTGAATCAGAAGATATTATAAGAGGAGAAGAAAAAAAACGATAGTTTCCACTTTCCTCGGTAAATTACTGCAGGAGACAGAATGAATTAAGCCTAAAGGCACAAAGAAGAGAATGTACAACTGGGTGAAGCCCAGTCGCCAAGCACCACAGAAATTTGACTAAAATCTAAGTGGGTCCTATGTGTGAGCTGTTATACTTGCGGTGTGTAATAATTATGACGAACCTGACCTAGTAGCGATGTTCAGGAGAGTGCGGAGACCGAGTCTGTGTCCCGGCGACCCCAGCCAGTCTCTCGCACACTGCCTCCAGTTGCGCGTCCAACATTAGGGACGCTATCTGGTCATCTGTTAACATCTCCACGCTGGAACCAAGGAAATATATTCATTTCATACACATCAACAGCCTATAAATGCCCACTGCTGACCAAAGGTCTCTTCTCACACGGAAAAGGTTTGAGCATTAATCACCACGGTTGCTCAATGCAGGTTGGCGATTTCAAACTTATAATTAGAAATTATAAGCGCAGGTTTCCTCACGATGTTTTCCTTCACCGTTTGTTTGTGGTGTCTAAATAATCTTAGAAAGTACATATAACTCGGAAAAAGTCACATTGGTACTTGCCGTTGGTAGGTTTCGAACCCGCGCCCTCATGTATGAGAAGCGGCCGTCTTTATACTCCGGGCCACCACTACAATATATTCATTTGTTTCATATGCAATATGGACTAAATATCGATGGAAGGCCGATTTAAGAGAGAAACTGCTAAGAACGAAGAAGCGAGAAATGGTGGAACATCCACCATCGCTCACTGAATCAACGGAGTAAGTGTAGAACATGAAACATCAAACTAATATTATAAATGCGCGTGTTTTTTTTTTTGTTTTTATTTTGTATATACGCAGGGTATGGGCTGACTTAGGTGATAGGATATTTATCCCGATTAAATACTCCCATGGGATTAAACAGGAACCATATTCTAAGCGGACGAAGTCCAGTTATAAACTGTCACTTTGAGATTGTTTCCGTACAAAAATCACGTAAGTACTGTAGTTTGCTAAAATAAAAACGAATCAAGTCAAATTAGCGCAACGTTGCGCTAATTTGTGCAACCATAATTAGTTACATAAAAATCTAAAAATAATAATAAGTAAAAAACAAATAAAGTTACCTGGCGAGACTATCAGTGTCGGAGTATCTGTCGTCGCTATGCGAGGAGGCGGCGCGGGGCGAAGCGGCTCGGCGCGGGGTGCGGGGGACTGACGACGACCCGCGACGCTCGCCGAATAGGGACAGACCTGGATGGAGCCATTTTAATGTATGTACATTATCACTTCCCTACATAGTATAAAACAAAGTCGCTATCCGCCGTCTGTCTGTCCCTATGTATGCTTCGATCTTTAAAACTACGCAACGGATTTTGATGCCGTTTTTTAAATCGATTTCATTAACATTCTTAAGGAAGGTTTATATGTATAACACATGCATATTGCACCCGTGCGAATTCGGGGTGGGCCGCTAGTCTATATAAATAAAAAATATTTTCTATTCGTTAGCCTAACTAAAACTCGAGAACGGCTGAACCGATTTGGCTAATTCTGGTCTTCAAATGTTCGTGGAAGTTCAAGGAACGTTTAAAAGGTAAGAAATCAGTCGGGTAAAAACATTTTTGAGACGGTACGAAGTTTGCCTGGTCAGCCAGTTCTCATTATTTTACGAACTGGCGACCGCACAACGTGTCGTGGGTTTGATTTTTACACGGAACCACTCTTTATACGATTCACAAATTGTTATTTCAGGTGTGTGAAATTGTATCTTTTTAAAATTTATCCATGACATCTGTAATGAGTAATGCAAATGATTTTAGGTCGATCAAAGTGATATTAATTGCATTCTGATCTCATAAAATCACCAAATTAAAGCGTGACCTTGTATAGTATGATGATTATCGATTACACTACTAACCTTGGAACATCTCCTTGACCTTCTCCCCGGTATCATGCAGCAGTGCGTCGAGGCTCTGTCTCCGTGGTCTGTCGAGATCCTCCCTGAGTACATGTGTCCGGGGCGCAGTCCTAATGATCCGCCGGGGCTCCGCTGCAGACGCCCTGGACTCCACCGGACTGGGCGGAGACCACTTTTCTGGGGTCGACCGAGCTCGGAGCGAACATTTTTCGAAACTCACCTGGATAATTTTGTTTCTTTTAGTTTTTTTGTGTACAAACAGTTGTGTGTGTAGAACAAGGGAAAAATAATGAAAATTTCCTACAAAATCAGCACTACAAAAGAAAACTATGTTTTTTCATCACGTCAAGAACTAAAAGGTACTATGTCATGGTCATTATGGTCATTATGGTCATGAACTAATATTTATATTAAGATCTTAAAATATTATCGATTTAAAAGCATTGACTTTATTTAGGCTTTAATTCTTAATAGACTGAAATATTTAGGTTTTTATAACTAAGAGAATATTAAAGATGTTTCAATAATCAATTATTTATACAATTTTCATGATGATACTAAAAAGTATTCCTTTTTAGCAGTCATCAAAGTCAAAGCATTTATTTAAATTAAACCATAATTTGATACTTATAAAACGACATCTAAACAATTATTAAAAAAAAAACCTAATTAAACTGTCAAACACCGCGAGGACACCGGTGACCACCTATTGTTCTTCAATTATGTCTATAATGACGGTATTCAAAGAGTTAATCTTGAAGACATATTTTTACCCTGAAAACACTAAGTGAAGACACCAACCTCTTCCGGACTGGAGTAATCCAGATCGATCTCAGTCCAGGTGTCGGCGTCGGTAGGCGGGCGCGGGCGATGGTGCGCGGCGCGACGGAGCCACTCCCTGACGCTGGCGTCCGTACTACTGTCGCACAGCTCGTCCAGCTTGTCGCTACTAGTGGTGTTGGTGTCGCTCGCCGTATCCGTCGTTGTCGAGCGGTCTATCTCTGGAACTTTTACTATTTCTATACTTAACAATGTTAAGAATATATATAAAAAGCGAGTTTTAACTTAAACTTAAATGACAGCTGTTTGTCCACCATGTTTAAAATTATTTCCATTCCACACGCTAATTTTAGCAAAACCAAAATAAAAAACAATAAAATTTTGCTCAACTGAGTCTGAGTCTCTAAGTCTCTAAGACCCCTTGTTTCAGTTCCATATGTAATCACTTCGTTAACGTATATTCCCTAACACATTAAACGCTATGGGGGTAACCTGTGACCGATATTAGCAGAGGATTTGCCTTCAACAGTTTTCTATTGGCAGTAAAAGCCCTAAGAGATTTAAAGATATGATATTATGTCACAAGGTAAAACAGCACTCACCATTCCTAGCAGACTGTCTTCTAGATCGATGTTTGTGTATTTCATCGGAGATCCTCTCCAAGTTCCGCAGCGCTGAGGAGTACTGCTGCTTGGCCTCAGAGACCTGCTCCTCCAACGTTTGGATCCGAGCCTTCTGAGCTTCTAAAGCTGTGTTGATTCTAGCCTTCTCTTCGAAATATGGTCTGTAATTTTGTAGAATTAGTCATACTTTTCATTTTATATAGTAAAAAATAAACTATAGTTGGGATCGATATTTGCAATTTAACGGTCTTGCTCGGTCTTCTCCATTTGAAACTACACTTTGGAACGAGTCCCTACCTTCACTAACAATTCAATTTGACTTTCCAAAAGTGCCAAATCAAGGATTAATTGAAATAAATGCCTTGACTTTGACGACAGATTTTATCGATTTTTTTTATGGAATAGGAGGCAAACGAGCAGACGGATCTCCTGATGGCAAGCGATCAGCGCCGCCCATGGACACCCGCAACACCACAGGAGTCACAGGTGCGTTGCCGGCCTTTTAAAAAGGAATACTCTTTTTTCTTGAAGCCTTGAAGGTCGTATCGGTTCGGAAATACCGCCGACGACAGATCATTCCACAGTTTTGCTGTGCGAGGCAAGAAGCTACGTGAGAAGCGCACAATTGTGGCCTACCAACCATCTATATGATGGGGATGCATATGCTGTCGTGAGGGTCGATGGCTAAAAGATGCGGCAGGTATCAGGTCAAACAATTCCTCAGAGCACTCCCCGTGGTATAAGCGATAGAAAATGCACAACGAAGCTACATCTCTACGCATTGCCAATGTGTCTAGCCGGTTTGCAAAATCTCGACATAGAACAATAATAACGGCACGCCGCTGAACGTGGTCCAGAGGAAGAAGTTGGTACTGGGTACTGGGTGCCCCCGCCCAAACATGAAACAGCATTCCATGTGGGGCCGAACCTGCGCCTTATATAGAAGCAAGCGGTGGGCCGGGGTGAAATACTGCCTTGATCTATTGAACACATCAAGCTTCCTCGAGGCTAATTTGGCCTCTAGATGACAGCGAAACTGAACGTCGCTCGAAATGCTGACACCAAGTATTCTAATACCGGCTGAGGCAGTTAAGGGGGGTGCTTTGAAACTGAGGAGAGACGACCAACGGCAGTTTCTTAGCAGTAAACACGCAGACTTGTGTCTTAGTGGGGTTAAACTGGACCAAATTAAGTCCACCCCAATCAGAGATTTTCCTTAAAGAGGTCTCGATTTCAGATACGAGTCTGTTTCGGCTCTCTATGACGTTTTATCGAGAAATGTTAGCGCGGCCGGAGTAGTAGGCATCGCCTGTGCTGTCATCCGCATAACATTGAATGCTACTGATTTGCAGCATGTTATTGATATGAAGGAGGAACAATGTAGGAGTAATTTAGTAGCTTGTTCAGAAAAAGTTTGCCAGCAAAAATTACTTCGTCATGCATTTTCGTGTAATAATGCGAAAATTTTTGAAGTATTTAATATTATTTTCATAGACATTCAAGCATTCAATAAGTAAGTATTATATTAAGTATTTTCAAACTACAGAGAAGTAGAGAAATTCTACAAGTAACATGCAACTAAAACTAAATGTGACGTTTTCTGCAAAAATATAATCTGTATTATTAAAGGATTAGTGTGATATTCTCCAAGATTGGGACAATGTGGATTTCGACCAGCCTAGATGATACAGCCCTTTAAATCAACATGATAGATACATTTATTTACAGGTGAAAAACTATTTAGAAATGACCCCCTCCCTTTCTCCAATCCCTGAATCCCCAACAATCCTCAAATTCCTAACCCCAAAAGGCCGGTAACGCACGCACACCTGTGGTGTTCCAGGTGTCCGGGCGGCGCCGATTCATCCTATCCAGTCCACCATCAGAAACCTACATTTTGTGGTTAGCTTTCAATTGTTGTTAAATCAGCAGTCATTGACCTTGTTTTATTATATTTGATGGGGCGACGTTCGACCACTATCTCGCCTGGTGGTAACCGATGATACGGCCTACGATGAAGCACGTCGACCCATAAACAACCTATTCACTCGGGCCTTGAAGACTCCCAGTTTATATATATATATACCCTGGGAGTTTATGTTATTTAAGTTTTTGTTATTATACCAGGTTAATGTTGTAGAAATCATAAGTTTCCTATATGATTTTAATATAGATACAATAATGTAATATATTACCTTGAAAAAACCAAAATATCAGAAAACGTCACAATTTTATATAAAAAAAAACTAAATAAATGCATGCAATAATATAAAAAATGCGGTACCAGTGAGTTGGCTGCGTCCCGGCGTCTGTAAAGAGAGCACTGTGCCACTAGTCAAGCAATACTTGTGCGGTGTTAATTCTGCAGACGAATTATATTACATTTATTTATAGTTACCTAGTTGGTCGAGTGGTCGCAAGTGCGACTACTGGGCAAAGGGTTTCGGGTTGGATTACCGGATCGGGTAAAGTATTACTGGGTTTTAAAAAAAATCTCAGTAGTAAAGGATTAGAAGTTGTTACTTCTGGAAATAAATAATCATCGTCATCATCATCATTACATCACGCCTTTTATCCCCGAAGGGGTAGGCAGAAGAGCACATTATGCCACTGTACAATGTAACATCCACTTTTCACTATTTATGTTATGAGTCTCATGTAATGGGTGTGGGTGGTGAGCCTATTGCCATATACCGGTCACGATTTCAGACTCCGTGCTACTACTAAGATTTTTTTTAAAAACCCAGTAATACTTTGCCTGAAACAGGAATCGAACCCGAGACCCCTTGCCGCCCAGTCGTACTTGCGACCACGCGGCCAATGAGGCAGTCACAATTACAATGGTCAATTGATCAAAATATATTTTTATTAATATATAATATAATTAGTCTGCACGTATGTCATACAAACTACTGAGTTAGTGTTTAAAGTATTAAAATCTAAGCTTACAACTACAAGGTGAGATAAAGAAAAACTTGCAAATAGTTGTCAATGCAAGCAATACAAAGCAATTGAAATTTAGAAGAAAAAAAAATTTTACTTGCAACATTACTGATTTAGTATTATAAAGTAGAAAAACTAATAGGGATGATGACAGGGTATCAAAATTAAAAATCTAATTAGTCCGTCAGTTAGGTAATAAAAATATCAGGCACGTATTTTTTTATTTTGTTGTATAATATTATGATACTTAGATATAACGAATCAAAGTTTAGGAGTGGGGTCTAAAACGTCATTTCTATGTATAAAATGTACATAGAAGTGACGTCACGCGACATTTCAAATCAATATATCGTCGAAAGTATTCGTTTCTGTAAAAAAATAAAAAATACGTGTGTAATGTTTTAAAAGAATCTACCTGACGGACATGGAAATAAAAATTAGTCATCTATCCTTGTTTACGCACAAGAATGGAATTTCTTTAGTGAAACTCAAAAGAACTTTAGAATTATGTATATTACAATAATTTTTGGAGACATAAAAAAGCAGAGATGGTGACTGTTCGAAATCGGTAGTAGAATAGACTGGTGCAACAATCTACCCGCTGTTGAAGATTGTAAAAATAAATGTCATATAAAAATAATTTAACTAGACGTAAATCATCTAACGACGAATTGCTATGCGTATTGAAGTAGGCGCGTACATAGACTCCCCCCGTTGAAGGTCTATGATCTTCAACCTTGAATATCATCTTCATTCGGTAGGGGACACAGGCGAACCAGCGATCGACGCACGCATCCTCTTGCTGTGTTGATATCTGCGACTCGAGAAATGCCGTCTGAACCAGGGTAAAGCCGGGCAACACGTCCGAGGCGCCAGTTTAGTGGTGGCACATTATCCTCTTGTATAATAACAAGATCGCCGATATTTAAAGATTGAGTCTTTGTCTTCCATTTTGTTCGAAGTTGAAGTTCAGAGATGTATTCTTTCTGCCAACGTTTCCAAAAATCTTGCCTTATTTGTTCAAGGCGGGCATAGCGTTGCAGTTGGGTTGACGGGCAGTCGTCTTGAGGTGGCGTTGGCAGCGTATTTAAAGGTCTGCCAATAAGAAAGTGCCCTGGGGACAAGGATAGGAAATCATCAGGTGATGATGACAGTGGACACAAGGGGCGGCTATTTAGAACTGCCTCAACTTGGGCGAATAAAGTACATAGTTCCTCAAAAGTAAGATGAGAGTTGCCCATAACTCTTTTGACATGATATTTAGCAGACTTGATTCCAGCCTCCCAAATCCCACCGAAATGAGGGCTGTAAGCAGGTATAAATGAAAATTCTATTCCTTCCCCTGCTGCAAACAGAGAAAGAGATTGGTTATTTTGTTTTAGAAAATTACTTATATCCTTTGCGGCAGATACAAAATTTCTTCCGTTGTCGGAACAAACTTCCGCTGGTCTACCACGGCGAGCAACAAAGCGACGAAACGTCATAATGAAAGCTTCCTTTGTTAAGTCGCTGACAGGTTCTAAATGAACGCATTTAAAACGCAAACAAATAAATAGGCATAAGTAGCATTTAATTAGTCTAGCGCCGCGACCCTTGCGATTTAGTATTAGAAAAGGACCGGCATAGTCAATTCCAACGGATTTGAATGGAAAATCAACGGAGACACGATTTTTGGGTAAGTTACCCATTTTAGGTGAGATGGTTTGCCCACGAACACGCACACAAGTGACACATTTTCTTACTGTGCTTCTAGCCAGCTTCCTACCATTGATAGGCCAAGTGACTTCTCTGATGGTAGCTAGTAGCAACTGTGGACCGGCATGTAAATTTCGTAAATGTTCACTGATGAAATAAAGTTTTGTTATGTAATGTGAAGCATCTAAAAGTATCGGATGTTTCTTATTAAAGGAATAATTAGAGTTATCTAATCTCCCTCCAACCCGTATAATGTTAGATGTGGGGTCAAAAAATGGAGATAAACTTAATAATTTTGATTTAGGCGGCAATGATAATTTGGATTGCAATTTCTTATATTCAAACGGAAAAGATTGTTTCTGTGATATGCGACAAATAAATATAAAAGAATTGTGTAATTCTTCAACTGACAAAATGCCAGATAAACTATTACACCTGTTTGTTTGTTTAGAATTATGCAAAAATCGTAAAACATATGCAAATATTCTTTGTAACTTAGTGAAATTAGAAAACATTTTAAAAT